ATCGATAACAATATCAATAGCAAAATCGATAAAAATATCGATAACAGTATCGCTAGCAAAACCGATAAAAATATCGGTAACAAAACCGATAAAAATAATTGATGACAAAACCGATAAAAATATCGGTAACAAAACCGATAAAAATATTGATGACAAAATCGATAAAAATATCGACAAAATTTTGTTTCAGCTATAACTTCGGAAACATACATACATCACATGAGTTTGAAATTTTATATGAAGTCATATCTATGGTAGATGCTTTAGTTAAGGTTTATATAAATGAGTTTGTTTAAAGACGTGGGGTGAAGCCCGCAGGTAAAAGCTAGTTAATGTATAAAATTCCTTAAAAAAATACCAAGCGATATCTTAGTTCTGTGTAACTATCATTTGTATGAATGTGACTCGTGGGACACTGAAAAGAACTCTATTTTATCTTTATGCACTCAAAGATGAATTTTTGCCAAAACACTGAATTTTCAAGAAAGATGTTTATGTGTTGTAAAATATGAACTATACGCCTTCGTTTACAATAAAAGTAAGGCTGATATAGGAATATTATAAAAAAGGAACAGTCCAGCGCCTTCGTCTTGGCCTGCAGGCTGTATCGGAGATACAGCCGCTATATTTAAACGTAGAATACGTGGTATGGTTAAGAGCATATCCAAGTCAAAAACGAAATCACACACTAAGAAAAAAAGGGTTTTTCCAAAATTTTACAAATTTACATACTTCTAAGTGAAAAGAACTCAATGAGAATATAAGCGAAAGCCCTATTTTTATTTCTATTTTATACCATTGTTTTTTTCTACAGCTTACTGAGATTTAAAGATTTGAAATTTTGAACAGAAAAAGATATTTATTGAAAAAACTTAATATAAAATTGTTTGAGCGCTTGAAAGAAATTTAATTCAAACTGAACATTTGAAAACACATTTACATGTTGTGGTTGTAGCTAAGGGCGCAGAGATACTTGTTACTATTTGTTAACTTTCGGGAAGACTCGGGTTCGAATGCTGTTAAACGCAAAATATAAATTCTGATTTTTCTTAATTACGAAAAAGTATCAATAAAGTACAGAACGAAATCATATTCAGACGAAAAAATCTCAAAAATTTACAAGTTAACTTCCAATAATACATACAGACAGATTTGTGTGCCATCAGTCAACAAATATTTCCAGTGACATCTGTGAGTTAACAGATGGCGTTTAGCATTCAATAGTGGTATTCACCAAATTGAGCAAGTGGCCTGGCACTCTGGCAAAAGAGCAGATCAGCGCAAGCAACGACAGTTGTCAACAGTCTATGCATATGTACATATGTACATCTTCCTTTGCTTAAGGTGTTTTTTGATAACAAAATCGACTGTAACCTAAATCAAAATATCAATAACAAAACCGATAAAAAAATATCGATAACAAAATCGATAGCAAAATCGATAAAAATATCGATAATAAAACCGATAACAATATCGATGACAAAATCGATATAAATATCGACAACAAAATCGATAA